ATTGTGCTTATTTGTTGTTGCATATATTCTGTTATGCTTTGTTTTTGTCGTTCTTTTTTTCTTTAAGACTTTGTTACATGCCTGACTACTTTCTACAACTTCGTCCTCTATAAACTCCAAACAATCACATGCATGTAAATTCAGGAAGTGAGGAGGTTAAAAAGAGTCCTAAACGAAAATAACAGTAATGAATTAAATATCCATAAAATTATGAAAACCAGCAATATGAACACATTTACACATACACAACTACGTACATATGTGAATTACTATGAGAGCATGCTAATCAGTAACTGAAACACTCGGTGCTCTTTAACAGACTTTTTAGATGAGATTTTAAGGATTTGATAGAGCAACATTTCTTCACGTCATCAGGCACTTTCCATTGATTTTTGGATACCACATATGCTGTTACATTCCTAGTTTTTAATATCAGCGTTTATATACCAGGCTTCTTTAAAATAACTTTACTGAATAGCATTCCATCTGCCTCTGCTATCAAACAGTGGCTTCTTTAGAAATACTGCAGATTGTGTGTGATGGCTATTGGAATTGCATGATGAATGTTTTGTGAGATTTTTAAAATAATTTTCTTGTGTCCACCAAACAGCATGTATAAAAGGCTAGATAAAAACTTTATCACAAAAGCATTAGACAATGTGAATATAAGAACTAAAAAGTAAACATTTAAGATTCGGGATAACAACTCTAATGTAGCTTGGCCATTTGTTTATTTTTTTTATATTTCTAATAGCTAAACATTTTTGAAATATTCTGAGATAATAGACATTTTAGATCATGGGCTGGTCATGCCATTTCCTTTTTACCCTGGGTGTCTTGTCTATGTGCAGAAGTGATGCACATAGTCCACTAAAGTGGCCATTAGTGGAATATCCAATCATAGCAGGGTCATATACTGTCTCCCTGCATCCTTCTTTGACCACCACATCCTAGGGCCATCATAGAGGAAATGAAAGTCACTGATGAATGACATGAGGAAATGGTATGGACAGATTGATGACTGCATCTTCAGAGCTCCCTCAGGGAACAGATATAACTTTAACTAAGTTCATTCAATTGCTAAGGGCACAAATATGTACCAGATGTAACTTTAGGTGTACACTTTTGTTTTCAGACTTCACAAGTGTCTAACAAATAAGACATTTTGATTAAAGAACGTGTTTTCCTGATTTTCTGTATATAAAACCCAACTTCTTTGTATTTTATCACAGAAAAAGCAGTCTTAATTCTCTTTGATCTTTTTTCCAACTGCAATATCCTTATAGCTCCACAGTCATAAAGGCCTCATTCATACTATCTCACTCAGTTGATTTTGCAGCGTGCCTTCTTCCTGAACTCTGGAAAGTATTGATGCAGAGGTTAATCAAAGGTGTTGCTAATTCGATCGATGTATCTTGTTCAGCAGGGGTAAATCATTGTCTTCCTTCTCTTGGACACTCCTAATGAGAGCTAAGACACATCACAACATTTCATAGCATGGTGGCTGCACTTGAAGACACTTTTTAGCTTTCTCCAATGATGTTTATGTTTTCAGATCTGGTTTGCTTTTTTGTGATTTCTATACTGCATGGATTTCAGGTTTTTTTTGAAGTAAACACATTTCTAATTGTATTCGAAAACTTTGGTCACAAAGGGTTCTAAATCAAGGCGCTACATCATGGTGTATTTTATAACAGAGACACATAATAATGCATTAATTATCCCTTTGATGCATTGTTTGCTGAGCTCTGCTTTCATTATGAGATATTCTCTACACCACTATGCTGCATAAGTTGCATGACTGCCAAAATGCAAACATTTGCACCACAAAGAATTGTCCAATCATACAGAATTTAGATGTGGTTTTAAAAATGTTGCACATCCTGTACTGCTAGTCAGACAGGCTTGTACAATGGGCAGAGAATATGACATGAAGTTGATTAATAAATAGAAAGGTTATGAATTTCTCAGGTGCCGTCTAATTACATTTTCTTCTCCCTGTATTAAATACATCCTTTCAAATACAATTTACATGATGCACACACTAATTCTAACATATATACATATATAAAATATATATTTACACTGTATAATTTTTATTTCACTAGTACTTTGTGCAGGCCTATCACATAATGCATACATAAAAAACAGACATTTGGGCTTGCAACATGACAAAGACTTTAACATTTCATGGATACAAACTAATACTTTAGGTTTACATGTTGGCTCCCCATTTAGAAAGTCTCACCTGATTCTCGAGCTCAAGATCAGTCTGATTGCTCAACAAGCCCTCCTTGTCTGTCCTTTTAAACTGTATTTGGCATGTAGTTCACTTATCTTATGTATTTGATTCAAGAATTAACCGGTTACCAATTATCTTTTTTAAGTAAATCTCCTATTATCTGATAAGTAACTATCTTTTACAGAAAAGATATCAGTATTATTATATCACACTGGATAAAGGTGTTAAAAGAGCTCTGATTTAGATCAATGTAAGATTAATAAAAACATTCATGTGATGGATCCATACAAGTAAAAAAAAAATCATGAGGCATTTCTGCAAACTATGTGTAACTACGTATAGCTCCACTGTGTTGTATTAATTATTCCTGAAAGTTGGATAAGTATGTCAACACTGCAACCCAACTGCTTAGAGGGCAGAGGTATGTTGTCTTATGTCCTATGTTGTAGCTTTAGGAGAGAAATCTATATATGACTTGTTGTGTGAGCAGCGTGTAACAACAGAGCATTCTGACTGCATTTGCACTGACATGGTCTGACAGGTCAATCAATGTGGAGAAGGTGGAATTGGGTGTAGGTTCATCGGTCTGCTGTGCCAGAAGAGAAAAAGTAAAAGTCATTTCTATTCTGTTCCTCAAGCTGCCATGGCTGCCTGAATTGAATGCTAAAAGATTTCTCTTTATATTTACCTTTGCTCCCACAGAGACTGAAGAACGATTGAGAACTAAAGAAGAGTTGTCAGTGGGGCTGTCCAAGACGATTCAGATGCAGTGAAAGCAGTAAATTGTTGAAGACAATACTGATCGTTTTGGGTAATAATCAATAAACAATGTATGGCTTCACTGAACTTTCAGTTTCAAGAGTTATGGATCTCTGCCAGACCATTCTCCTAGTCAAAGCAAGTTTGAATTCCCACAGGTGGCGTCTCAATGATATGAGGAGTATTTGACCTTGCTGTGTTATCGTCCAAACAACATTTTTCTCAGTATCTAGCAGTATGTTTTAAAGTTGTTGTAACTTTAAATATTGATTGCTTATAGTGTTAAAATCTAAATGGTAGCTACTTTTTTATTCAATAGGATGATAACATACTTTACTAGTGCTGTGAAAATAGCCTCTGTCATGAGGTATGAGAAAATGTTTTTTTCAGACATTTCACTCAAACTTGGGGCAAAAGATTTGAGACTTGACTTGGAAGAGAATATTTTGAACATCTTTAGCTTATGACAATTTAAATTTATTAAAAATTTAAATGTTATTTGTAACTATAGTCTTTTTCAGTTAGCCTAACCTTTTCTTAGGGTTGTCGGTGGTTGCACAGTGGCGCAATAGGAAGACTTTCTTGCAAGAAAGTCCTGGGTTAAAATCCCAGGCTGGACTCTTTCTACGGAAATTTGCCCTGCAGTTTAAATAATGTCAAAAATCATTTTTGCTTTATGTGTACAATCTTACAACATTTGGAACAAATAAAAAAAAACAGCAGAAAATGAGATGTTGAGAAAAACTTTGATTAAAAATGTTCATTTTCAGATCAATGAACACTCTTATTTACAGCTCTGAAACATCTGTTTTTGTTTTCATCGTGATCAAATTTGCAATAGATTGAGGGAGAAAATTAGGCACAGCTTTTTTCCATTTTTTTCAAACCTCAAACCTCCTGTTTTTCATCTGCCAGAGCAAAGGGAGGCCTCATTACGTGACTTTGGAAGACATCTGATGAATGAACATCCTTAATTGTGCTGATCATTTTAGCTTCACGTTTGCTCATGGCTGGAAGTAAAACTAATTTTGAATATGAATCTGAACCAATAAACGCCATACTAAACTGCTGCATACAGAAATACAACACAATTTATCATTTGTTTTGATTCAAATTCTTTCTTTAGAGCAGTTTCTCAACCCTCGTCCTCAAGGCACAGCGCTCTGCATGTTTTAGGTGTTTCCCTGCTTCAGCTGAACTGGTTTCAATTGATGGCTGATTAACAGGCATTTCCTGAACTGCAATCAGCTGAATCAGGTGCAGTAAAGCAGGGAACCATCTAAAACATGCAGGGCAGTGAGCCTAGAGGACAAGGGTTGGGAAACACTGCCTTAGAAGACTGTTTACTGTGAGATGTTTCTTTATGAAAGACTACAAGTACATCATTTACATATGAAGATCAAACCACTCCAGTTTAATTTAACAGTAAGCCTCAGTCTGAAATGTAACTCAGTGACTCACATACACATCTTTGGTTTAAGGCCAAACATACTGTTGTAGTGTTTACAAACTATGAATACAGAAAGTATAAATAATTGAAATACTGAAGAAAAAGCATAAATATTTTTAAAAGTGTGTTAGAGGTGACTTTTTGATATGTTTCTACTGCCTGTGAGCATCTAGAGCAGGGATCCACAAATTCAGCTGCTTGATTGAGGCATGTTGAACCAATGTCGCATTTAAAAGTTGCAGGACAGCAGCCCTCAAAGCCTGGATCTGAGTACTGGTGATCTGGACACTGACATGTTTCTCTGTTATTCTTAATAACATATCTAAAGGTTATCCATAAAGGAGTTTCCAGGACCACCTGTAAACAATTCCCAGATTTTGCTGCTGATTTCCAGTTGGATTTTGACCGCGATTAAGGAAACATTTGTGTTAACCTTATGAGTTTAACCTTAAAGTGCTCTGCATCAAATGAACACTTAAGTAACAAAGAGTTAGATGAAATACATTGCTTACTGGAAACAGCAGGTGACATAGAAAAGACAAAATGCTCTGTTCTTACAAGGAGGGGAAATTTTTATTTATAACACATGATGCTGACAGGGACTCTGGCTCAGCGTCTATATTACAAGGTTTATCTGCAAGGCTGTGAATGTACTGTATGGGGTTTCTGGAAACCGACGTCGCAGTGGCAATATAAACACACGCTTGAAATAACAGACTCTTTCCCTTTTTTTTCCTTTTCTTTTTTAAAAAAAGGTACAAACAACAATATAAAATATTTGTGCTGTTGACAATTTACAAAAAAAGTCTTTTGACTTGATACCTGTGCAATATTTTTTCTGCTTTTTTTTTTTTTTCCTTTTTCCTTCATTTGAAACAATATGCATACACCAGAGTCCCATCTGGACTCCAGCCTCTGTCATGCAGGCTGCACAGTTTTTGAATTTGTTCATGATAATTGGAGTAGGACTCATCTGCCCATTATAAAAAGACACATGCAAAAAGCTCCAATTGTACAGTTACAGCTTGCCTAACATGGTCTGTTTAGCTTCAAGCAAATATTACATTATGTACACTTGGACTTGAATAGCAGGAGGACTCGTATGAGAGCCTGCTGCCCATATTTGGACTTCAATCCATAGCAGAACAAAAGTTTGGCATCTTTTAGAATCTCCCTTCAGGTCTGCATCCATGGTGATTAAGAGTCCAGAACAGCCCGCAGTGACCGGGCGTTCTTTGAGTAACCCCAAGTGTCAGACAGAACTCAGGGTTGAACTTTGGCAGTGCAGTTCCCTCTTGGTTTTCATTTGTTAATTCTCCCTTTATATTAGCAAGAGAATGTCAACACAACAAATGGACCACGACTTCAACAGGAAATAACCAATATTTTGAAGATCACTGCGGGTCAGGTTTCACTCTATGCACTGGTGCCTCGCTGCCAAGCCAACATTCAGCATCACTACAATAATGCGCCATGCCTTCATACGTAACATAGTTTATGAAGGTTGGCTGCCAATATCTGTCCCAGAATTTGATTTGAATGTCTGATTACAGAGCATCACTACTATGATATTTCTTCTTTCTTTGGAGACAGGATGGCCATCAGTCTTAGTGCTGCTCTTTCAGTGAATTGCAACACTGCAGAATGGGATTATATAATATAGAACACTCTTATATGTACAGTAAGGCCTAGAGGAGTGAGTGTGTACTGTACAGGTTGGTTGGGTGTGGAAACCCTCTCGCCACGATGAAGTAATACAATTATGGCTGTCAGCCCATACAGATTTATACAAATTCTGGTAAATGCACATGGCTTTTTGTGAAATATAATTTGCCAAGTATTCATTTGGAACCAAACTATAGTGGAAAAAAAGGCTGCACAGAAAAACTAATGTCACCACATGTATAAAAAGATTCTATATTTACAACATTTATGTGTCAGAAAGAATCACAAATAGGAACTAACAGCTGTGTTTATTTTATGGGATATTCTTCAGGCTAAAAGGCAGTCACACAGATAAGAGCTTATCTAGCAGCGAGCTGTGGGAAACACTCTGTGTTCATATCTGAGCTGGCGGCTATCCTGATCAACATTTCTAGGTTGTATAAGCAACGATTCATACTTATCAATCTGCCAACTGAACCAAATTGACCCTGTTGACCTGTTTATTTACACTGGATTGGTTGCTCCTTTCGTGTTTTAAAGTCAAATGATGCACACCACTTTCTGTCTACTTATATCTATAGACAAACATTTCCATATTTTCTTACCAGTCTATTTTCACTCAATTTACATATTGGTTACTTGACAAGGGTTTAAAAAGCAACAATTTCAAAGCTGCTAAAAGGATCTGTTATACTTCAAGGTCCTTTAAAAAAGATGAGAGAGGAAGTGACCAAAGTACTGTTTGCTTGTTTACTGTCTCTCCTCCACCTGTTACTGGAAAGCTGGCTGAACAACAGCTACTCTTCCTTTTCCCTTGATTAAAGCAAATAAAATGGCCACTCTTTGTATAGATTTCCAGTCACAAAAAAACAAATCATGGTACAAGAAACTATGAAGTACCACGCATCGCTTTTATTAAAATTACACTGTTTTTAAACTACAGTTCACAAATTATGAGCAGCAATAACCTAAACAGCCAACTTTACACTTTAACCAATCAGATAGCCCAACAAATTAAGAAGCTAATATCAGCTGCTTACACTTCTGTTCGCCTAAAAATAGCAAAGATTTATAATACTCTGTCCAATAAGTCTATTATCTAAAAACTGGTAGCAAAATAATTTAATGTAGATTGAAATGTTTAATCTATTTATGGTATTGTACTATCAATGCAACTAGAAGTATGTTATTTTGCAGCAACAAGACCATTAGCTACTTAAAATGTTCAAATAAAAGCAATTCAATCACTTTGGTTTTAAATCTTTGTCTAAATACTATGATACTATGGAACTGTATATTTTTTCCTCAAGGCATCTCAAAGAGCTCATGTCTGCTTCCTTATTATATTTTGTAAAACAGAGTGGTTTGATTGTTATTTAAATCTTGTTGAATAAAAACTGAAAATATTAAGAAAGGAATAATTAGAAAAAGCTCCTTTACACCCACTCACCTTTGGAGACCTTCAGGTTAGTAATTTGGAACAAACTTCCAGAAAATTGTAAAACAGCGGAAACCCTGACTTCCTTTAAATCTCAACTAAAAACACACCTGTTTAGAATTGTATTTGAAATGTAATATGCAACAGTGTATTGTTTATTCCATGATGCATGACTTTGTGTTTTTGTATTTATGATGGAAAGCACTTTGAAATGCCTTGCTGATGAAATGTGCTACACAAATAAAATTTGACTTGATTTGATTTTGATTTATCAGTAAGAAACAATATAAACCTGCTCAGAACAAATCATGTTTTCAATGATCAGTTTCTCCCCGTACCATTCTTAAATGTTTTGCATATTCAAAAACTTTAATGAGCAAACTATGTTTAACCAGTCTACAACAGTCCCCATAGCACCTCCCTGATATGCCACAAATTAAGTTTACAAAAGCTCAAAGGCAGCTGGCAGACAGCAAATGTGTGAGGAAGAGTCTCATTACTAAAGTACCTGGGCTTCACACAAATCTACATTTTGTAAAACCTCTTAAATTAATGTCAGGATTTTCAGACTAACATTTTAAATAAGTAGAACTCTGCCTAAAGAGAGCTGGTTTGTGACAGTGCTAAGACTGCTTGCCTCAGCTTATTTTCCCCAGTTTCTGTTAGAGATGCACCAATGTTGGGTTTTTTGTAAAGCTATAAACTGTCATTGCAGATTTAAGAATCTTTGTAAGAGCGGTCATAACAGTATTAGTGACAATAACTGCATATTAGAAGCAGAGGAGATGTCACATTGTGTCACAGAGATGGGTTTTTCAATTTTAAAACAAAGACAAATTTATAAGGGAGTTGACATTTCAAAAGTCCTTTAGCAGCTCAAGTTTGTAATTGGAACAGTAATCAATTGTACTTATAAACAGCCCTCCCAAGTGTATTACCTATATAACATCCAACCCTACTTTCAATCTTATAAATTTAGCAGAAAAGCCAACATTTCTACATCCAGTCTGATCTATAACCGATGTGGCTGAAACTGAACATTTTGGTTTACTCTGTTTAGCCTTCCTGTTATCTGCTGGCAGATTGTTTTTAAACCCATAAAAGCTGCATATACAAGAAAACAAAACTGCAAAAATGTGAAATTCTGAGGAAGTAACATGTTAACAGAAAGAACAGCTGGTCCTGATATCCTTATATACTGTGCTTTCACTAATTTCATTTTTAAACCCCTCATTGGTACAAACTTTGAGTCTTCTTCCCAAAGTAACAATGTCCACATATTAAGTGTGTTGCCACTTCTGTGATTTGATATGGTACATGCACTGATCTGAAAAGGTAAGATTTCTGTGAGTTCTGACTGACTAGATCACAGGTCAGGAGCACAAGCTGAAAATTGGACAGTTTCACTGTGAATCTCTAGTTTTTGTAGCAGGATTTATGTCATAAAGTTATAGGAAAAGCTATAGGGGCTAATTTGGGTAAAATTAGCGACAGTAACTCAAGGCTCAGCTAATTATAAGATAGAATCACACCAATGGCTGTGTTTTATGTTTTGTAATATTTGTAACTTTCATGTTTATACTTCCACAACATGTTTCTCACAAAAATTGTAAGGTAATCAACCACCTTTGACTGAAAAAGTACATATGCAAATATTGGACGATCTTAAAGCCAAGCTCCTAAATAACCTTTCAAGTACTTCATACCCAGCAACATTGCAGAAACAACACATTTAGCTTTTCAACTTTTATGCTTAGTAATGAGACCAATCTCTCACACACTGAGAGCAAAACAAACACAGCTGCTGTTGCTACAAGAAACAAAGACAGAATGATTTTTTTTTTCTGTAAGACAGCCTCTTTATATGTGTCTGTGATTATAGCAATCATAGTCAAGCTAAATGTGATCTCGGGGCACAGGTACATCTGACTTGAAAAAGCCTAATGATTTATCCATTACCTAGAGACACACTGTAGGCCTCTGTACAGTATGTCTACTTGAAGCGTCCTCTAAAACCTGCACTGACGTCTCCCGCAGATACCACGGCCCTGCCGGATGGGAGAAATGACGAGGGAGATCTCAATTAAAGGGTCCGGGGTCATGTCACGGCCTGTTAGTCCAAATAATGGCAACCAATCCTGAGTTAGCAGGAGTCTGCTAAAAGAAACCCACCACTGAAGGCACTTTTTTAAACAACAGTGCTTCTGTTCTAGGAAATTCAAGTTCAGAAAAGAATGGATCAAAACCCTCTATGTAAAGAGGACTTTCATATCTGTGTTACCTTTTCTCTCACTTTTGTTTGCCTCAGAAAAAGCATGTAGCTCAACCTAAAGCTCCTTCAGAAAGGCGGGCGGGCGAGGGGCTGTCGGAGAGGGAAAAGTGAAATCCCTCCGGAAAAGGGAATCTTCTGAAACAAACGAGACTGAGGACAAAAAGAAGGCAATAGAAACTGAAACAGACATAAAAAAAATAATCAAAGTGTACAACTCAAAAATTGACGTGACAAAAAAAGTACATGAGTTTGAGAATAGATATGACACAAAGCCTGCAAATCAGAGCTTCTAGTACAGTCTTAGACAGGCTTAGAGCAGGAGCCGGTTGAGAAGAGCACCTGGAAGTAACTCACAGCACTGATCCTCTGTGGTGGGTTATTAGATTGGTTGGTTGGTCCGTGTGAACATGCCATCTTTAACGTGTGTTCAAGAAGGGTGTAATAGCCCCACTGTGTTGAGGAGACAGAGCTTGGCAGGCCAGCTGACGGGTCGAGGGTGTGTGTGTGTGTGTATATATGTGAGAGATGGGGCTGGATTCTTAATCATCATCCCCACCCCCATACATGTCAGCCAACTTCTTAAAACGGGGTCCCCAGTCGTTGAGGTAGTCATAGTCCTGATCTCCTGTGCTGGAAGAGTTGAGGGAGCTGACTGAGCCGGCGGTGGAGCCGCTGCCCTCATAGTCAAAAACGAGCAGGGAATCATACGGAGGAGCCGTGGGGTCGTTGTCTGCAGCCCGCAGACCCTGATGAGGACAAGAAGAGCAAACAAAGCAAAAGGGATTAACTCACTCCACACTTACAGCACTAAAATAACAAACTATTCAGAAGGCTCTCTGTGATTATTGTTGTCCACGTGTACAAAACAAGTTAGAAAACATAAAGCAACCCGAGCCAAAAATGTTGGTGGATATGAAAAACAGTACGTTTGCAGAATTAAAAATTCATCACTTTCACAAGTGAACTTTTGCAACTGTTTTGTGAACCAATCAGTTTCTGTAGATGTGTTTCTACATCAAACTTACGTAGGTGGAAGTCGCTGGCTAAGCCTCTCCGTCACATGAGCTGATCGTTATCCACTAATATAGAGTTGTGTCCCATGGACACGAACATTTTCAGGTTGAGCTGTTTTAAACGACTGGGTCAAGCTTCCCCTTTGCCAACTTTGACCCCCATTTTGTACCTACAATTTTGTGCCTGTCCCTGCTGTCACAGGGCGAGAGGTGAGACAAGTTGGCAGTCCATTACAGCACTGACAAAGACAGATAATGAAACATGCCTTTATTTATAACCCAGGAGAGATTAGACAGGAGAGCTGTGTGTTTTCCAGAGTTTTCCCTTCCAGACTGCAAAATGTGGTGGGAAAGTATTAAATGAATCATGCAAGACTTCCAGTAGCCAATGTATTGGCAATTGTGCTGCAATTTCATGCCATAAGCTTGTTTTTATTCAGTTCGGGAATGACATGGTTGCAAAAAAATTTCAGTGACAGGGAACCACTGCCGAGAACAGTGAGCACTTTGTAGAAGAGGGAGGATTTTTCCAGTCCTGTTAATTAATTTGGAATGCTGGCAGAAGGGGATGTTAGAAGATACAGACAGCCAAGGCTCATGCAAAAGACTAACATAAGACCCACAACTAGAAGGATCTATGAAAAACCAGCTGTACTGAGCTTTTTTTTTAAACCCCCGTCCAGTTTTTAGGTCACCAGCTCCCAACCAAAATGTTTCTAAGATGGCTCTTAAGTTTTGAAATTAAGTCTTCAGCTGTTGGAGAGTTTGGAGCAAAAAGTATAAAAAGCTTAGCAGATATCATTTTATGGATTCTGGGTATGGATATGCTGTAAAAATAGCTGATCAAAGCTCCATTGCAGGCACTTCAGGCTTCATCTCATAAATCTCCTTCCAGTTCTTTGACATATTTATGGTAGGGGTACACGCTTGTCTGGAACAATGCTATTCTCTAACAAGTTGAAATTCGGTGGAAGAGCATATATTAGATTATTGTAGATCAAAAAATTGTACTCTGCAAAAGTATTCATACCCACTGAACAATTTCAGATTTTGTCCTATTACAGCCACAAATGTCAATGTTTTATAGTGAATTTTATGTAATAGACCAACCTGAAATTGCCCAAACTTACAAAGCGAGAGAAGAAAGATTGAAAATGTTCAAATTTTCTTAAGCAACCTACTTATGTAAATAGACTACATCTGTGTACAATTTATCACTTGTAGAGGTGTTCGGTGAAGGCCTCGGAGATTTATAAGAGAACATTAGTGAACAAATAGATAAAAACTGCAGAACACAACAGAAAAGTCAGGGATGAAGCTACGGAGAAGTTTAAAGTGATCTTAGATGATAAAACAATGTCTGAAGCTTTGAGCATTTACAAGAGAACTGTTTAATTAATCACATGAAAGTGTAGAACAAGTGCAGAACAATAGCAAACCTACCATGTTGACAAGTAGGTTTGCTGACAGGCCAGGTAAAATGGGCCTTACTTAAACAAGAGGAGCTAAGAGACCCTGGGTTACTCTGAAGGAGCGGAAGATCCACAGCTCAGGTTGTTGAGAGTCTTGTATGGAACAGTGGCAAAAAAATGCAGTTTTTGAAGGAAAGTCATAAGGAGAGGTAGAATAAGCTCCCTCTTACGTATGGACAGGTAAGCTGCTCAGGATTGATCTGACATACAGGGCAATCCTGGGAGAAAACCTGTTAGAGACTGAACAAAAGACTTAAGATTGGGATTCGCCAAACAGCAGGACAACAATCCAAATTAGATGTTCAAATGCGGTTAGGAGAACAGCATGTTCATGTGTTAGAATGGTCCAGTACAGGCCCAATCCTTAATCCAATTAAAATCTGTGCTGGTACTGTATGTGGGTCTTTCACAGAAAATCCCAATAAAAGGCACTGAAAACCGGATCGAATACAAATACAAATAAAATCTTGTGACTGAAATGTAAAAATAAATACACTAATAAATAAAATAAATAGGAATGCAAGTTTTTGTATTGTTATCATTTGCTGTAGTAGCTGTGATACTGCATTTTGTAAAAAAGAATTGACTGTATTTTTCATTCACTGCTGCAGTTTTAAAGAAAAAACATATGAGGACCACTAACCTCGAGGTGAGGCAGGTGAGGAGAACAGCCCTTGTTGACTCAAGAGAAATAAAGAGAAAAACCTAAAAAGCTCCATCCCCGTGGATTCAGAACGTAGCAAAAACACCATGTGTTTGCCGTGTTTGAGTTTAATCGGACTGCTGGAGCGAGATCAGGTGAGTTTGTGTGTGTGAGACAGAGACAGAGACAGACCGAGAGTCAAGGTTGGATGGATCAAAGCTGAACAGCTGCCAACACCTCTCGAGTGTGAACACGTTGTCATGAGTCTGTCAATCAGTATTTTCTCGCATAAACGTGCCAGCGTCTGAGTTTTGTGTGTATTTAGCCCTTGTTAAATACACACAAAAGTGTTTGGAGGGTGGGGTGGCTGTGAAGTAAAGGAAAACTAGTTGTTGTCATCCCCTACCAAATAAACAAGATTACAAAAATTACAAATCGCATTATGTGTCGCATGGCAGCATGACTGAGAAGTTACTGCATCGTGCGATACTACACAGATTCAGCACATGCCAGATATACAAATATCTCTAAAATCACCTCATGAATAAAGTCTCCAATGTCTCCAGGATGGGGCACAACTGGTCTGATGGGGTATTGAGACTCTGGGATGATGGGCCTCTCGTCAACTCTGCGTACGCCAGGCGGTTTGCTGATGATGTGTTCTAAAGAGTCGGGCTGCTGCAGCTGGCTCAAGTCATAGTCCTGCAACACCACAGAGGTAGAGGCACATGAGCAGCGTAAGCATGAACAGAGACTTTGATGTCCATGCGGACATGTGGTGCGTCTCTCTGAAGCTCTCACTTGATCCTCTTCTCCTCCGCCCTCCTCGTCATATTTGAGGATGTTGTCTCGGACGTCATCTTCAGGGTCAATCAGCAACTGCTTTGTCTGCCTTTCTTTCTCTCTGCGCTTGATCCACACCACAAACAACAGCACCATGCCTGCAACAATTCACAAAGGAACCTCACACAGCTGCAGGACGTGCTGCAACAACACAAAATCAACTGACACCTTTACTTATTGATGAAGTGATGTCTTCAGCCTTGCTAAGGGATCTATACAAAGCACCGAAGCACAGCAGTGTGTAAAGCTAAGGGCTTAGGCTGGAAAAAGTTCTGAAAGAAAAATAAGAGTGTAGCCTAATTCTATTATGATTTAATTTCAATTTGATTTGCACAATTCTGGACCTCACTGTAAATATTTTCAAAACTACAATGGAGTGGTTTTAAATCATGCTGGGAATGAAGTGTTAAGCCATTACAATGCAACTTTCTGTTCAGCACTATTAATGAAAAGCATGGCTCATTGCATTTTGCTGTGGGCACTTCAACATTTCAAATAAGAAGAAAAAAATCAGTGTCAAGGAAAAGCCTGGTGTCTAATCCTTTTGTATCATTTTCTCCAAGAAACACTGGATGTCAACCGTGTCTCAAGCTGTAAAATAAGTTCCCCCTGTCCCACCTCAGCCATTTAAATCATACCTGGCACACTTCAGGTTGCAGTGGATATTACACTTGGCACTGCATGTGCATGTTAGAGACTTTTTCTTGATTTGGGGACACACATGTTCCTGTTTAGCTTACTTGTCTTTTTGATACTCCGAAATTGTATTTTACTTCATGCTAATGCACTCAGAAACTGGCTGGTTTGAACAATGTTTAGCTTGATTTGCTGTGACCCAGGTGGAATCTCAAACATGTGAACTTTACATAATATGTTCATGCATAATTTCTAAACACCATCAGGTACTGGTAACCACTGCAATTTCTTCCAAGTTATTACTGCAGGAAGACGATTCAAAGCTAGCCGTATTAATATCAGTGAGGGCCTTAGAAATTAGGTCAAGTGAGGTACTAATAAACTTTTAAAGATGGAAAGTATTTTCAATGGACACACAATGGTTGTTTTGGTTTTTTTTACTGCTTAAGGGAGCTAGACCTTTATGTGTGCTACTTATGTTGCACCTTTGGTTGTTTTACACCCGCAAGATTGCTCTGTTTTTATTATTATGGCTTTTCAAGCTTTTCCTCTGATGGAATAACGGCCTTTAAAACGTGGGTCACATCTACATTGTTTTGAAAATACAAATAGAGACTGTTGTTTACAGCTTGAAAGGCTAACTGGGTTAGTTATGTTGAGGTAAGATACAAAAAATAGTTTAAGATTTCAACTATCTAAAACCCATTTAAACAGCAACTTGTCTTTGCTTCAAGAAATGTTTAGTGTTTGTCAATTATATATCTAAAAAGAGAATCAGAATTGGCTAAAATATATATTGACAAGGCAGATTTTTAGAAGACTGTTTTAAACCGTAAGATCATAAATTGGCAATAAATCTCTGAGTGCTGCATCTTTAATATTTACTTCAGGCTTAGTTGTGAATTATGCAAGTATAACTTGCGGCCCTTCGATGATCTGTAGATTTTTTTGAACTTATCAGGGTTTGCATTATTCAGTGGAGTGAAAAAGAGTTCAGATAACATATGAATCATGACAGAGATACATGAAGATGTGTTTGAAAATCAGAGTGTAAATCAAGTTGTATTGTTTGTCAGGTGACCATTGCATAAAAAACACCTTCGGGTCTACAGTAAATATGTGGATCTCTTTAGAAGCATCAAGATTTTAGTGAATGAGTTCATTAAGACCACTTACACAGCAGTATGATGATGCAGATTAGGATGAAGATGATGGCTCCGGTCCCCAGGCCAGCGGCCGCGACAGCACCAAGTGTGGTACAGTCACCATTTTCATCGCACGGACAAACCTTCACTTTGATGACAGACCTATTGGATAATGGAGGGTTGCCAGAGTCTGACACAATGATAGGGACCTCGTACATTCCTGGTTCTAAGTAGATCTGGTACCGAAGAGCGAGACGGGCATAATCACCTGAGCAAAACAAAGCGGAAAAAACACTTGTTAAGAAATGACAATGTTCATATTTATTGTGTTGAAACTACCATACAAACTTTATACTTTGCATTCCCTTGTTATTAAAAAAGCCAAAGGTTTTATTATTTAAACATGTATGTCATGTGAATGAATTAAAAGCATAAACAAGATGTCAGCCTCTGGTAAGTTTATTTTTTTAAACTAAACATTGTTTCTCTTTTCATCTACCTGAGTTCATTTTGATTAAAAATTATTTAATTTTGATACATTTATATGTTCAACAATGGGACTTATACTTCAATCAATATCCCTTGATATAGTTCTACAGTAGCTAGAATCCATCAATGCCTAATTAAATTCAGTGGGCATAATTTGGAAAGAGACAAGCATAATGGAAAACAAATCTATGACATAATGAGATAATATCCACAAAATTGTGAGGCAAAATGGTGTCAAGGTACATGTCTGGGAAAGATACAAGCCAGTATCTGTATGCAGTGAAGGAGAGGACGTATCTGCAATAAAATATTGCTACAGATAAAATACGAATTTTATCTGTAGCAATAAAATTAGGGATCATAATTATTTCCAATCATTAAATGGATGCACTTAGTACTGCAAGCACTTAGGAAATCCAAACATGGTGATGGCAGGATCATACTGTGGTTTCACAGAACCTTTGTAGAAGTTTTGGAGTAAGTAAACAAATTTGGACACAAACCCAGTATTGCTCGTCTGGAGAGACATGATGGCTGAGGACCAGCACTCCTCATCCAATCTGGCTGAGTTTGTGTTTCTGCCATGTGGACTGGGTAGATTTCCAAATGAAAGGTGTGCCAAGCTTGTGCATTATTCTCAAGAAGATTTTTTATTTTTTTTAACAAATCACTTGAAAATCTGTTGTTATGGGATTCTCAAATCAGAAGTGGAAGCACAAAGTACAGTAATAAAGTAGTATAATACCAAACTGAGACAAAACTTCGACATGCACAATTTTCTCAGTTTCAGTTATCTACCTGCATCATGTAACATTTACAAGAGGCAATACACTCGCAAGAATGATCGAAAAATTTATGATAAAAATTTGATTTATTTATAATTTTTTTCAGAGGCAGCTACTCACCACTGATCCGTGCAATGGTCCAGTTGCGTCGGATGCTGCTGGGGAAGTTGGGCAGCTCGAAGACAAAGGGTCCAGCGTTGGGATCCGTGTCAGCATCGGCGGCAGTGATGTTGACACCATTGACATTTTTGTTCATCCTTTCGCAGATCTGAGACTCCCTTGGTACGAGCGCCGGGGGGTTGTCATTAATATCTATCAAATAGATCTGCAATGTGCCTGTGCCGCTGGCTTCAGGAGAGCCTGGGAGGAGGAACAGAAAGATAAAAAAATAACATCATGACAGAAGAAGAAGATGACAAGTGGAGATGTGTGCAGTGAAGGGGAGGACGAAGAGAGAAAACAGAGAAGTTGTGGCCCATCAGAGGAAATGTAAAAATAATGAAATATGAATAAAAAGACAAATTAAAAAGCAACAGACATGAGGTAAAATGAGCATTGTTCATTCATGGTTATGATGTTGGAGGTAGGAGTGCTGTCAGGCTGGGGAATAGTTTCAACTTTTGAAAGAAATACTTCTGACAGTTTTGCTTTTCACTTCATCTTTTGGCCTCACAGCCAAATCAATCCCATCACAGTCGATGCAGATGCAGGCAGAGCACAGCGAATCACACAGAGAGGGGTTAGGCACATTAATGATGACTGTAATATAACAAAACAGGTCCTTGTCGGCATGTATTTACACAATGCTGTGAGTCATCTTTGATACTGGACATAAAGGCTACTTTCTATGCAGCGAAAAGCTTTTTTTTTTTTTTCTGAAGACAAATGGGACTTTTCAGCGTAAAAAAGGGTACCCAGCATCAAATACAAAGTAAGTATAAAAAAATTGCATCAAAATGATCCACAGTTCTGGCCAGAAGCTGATACATTGGCTTTATCAAGCGGACTAATATCATTTCAATTCTGTCAGTTTGAAAACTCATTGTTTTTCCAGCATGTTCTGCTTACACAACATACAACTTGTGACTTGTGTGATTTTAATAAGCAAGCTTTGAGCACAGACGTTTGAATGTATAATGATTAACATATAATAACATTATGCGAGACATTAGTTTTATTGACAGTGGTTTTGGAGCATTACACAAAGTTGGGTGGATTAATTTGCATGTGATTTTCTTTTTCAAATCACCCTTCAATCAGGTGACATTTGTACATAATTTTATGTCCCACCAGGGCAACAATATTATGCACACAACAAGCAATAAGCCTGTGAATTGGCCCAACCATACTGGGTGGGGGGGTTCTGTGCTTAGTTTTGATAAGAATTCAAATGTTGCAGATATTTAAATTTGTGGTTACAATTGTTGATGTTAAAATGAATTGAATGCCACAGCCTCACTTGAAAAACAAAAGTCTAGCATTGGTAAAGTCTAATATGTTCTTGTTAAACAGAAAAAAGGTAATTACAAACAGCATACAGTGGATTTACTTGTGTTGTATTCTGTAAAATTAATTTATTTGACCTTATTCATTTAGCTGTTAAAAGTGAAACTGCTTTCAAAGATAAGCATGCTTTTTGTTTCAGGATCTGTTTAACACGCTTGCACAGTGGTACCGAAAAGTCTCATTACCTCAACGGCATAATTATTTTCAACAGCATCTCACAGGTAAAGCAGCTTATACACATGTGGAAATTGTGGCTTTGCAGTTTCAAAGAAATGTTGCACTTGATCCCACATTTAGTCTGTAGAAAGTCAACTTGTAAAATTTGTTCTGATGCTTTAGGCAGGCCGTAGCAGGTGCTGTTTCGACAGCAATACTGCCAGCTTTGGACTGCAATAACATGCACCGCTGCACATAGAAACACTCACATCCCATCTACAGACAAAATTTAGAAGCCGTTGTGTTGATTGAACAGAGTAACAGACCATTACCAACAACATTTATGGAAAATTGGGAATAAAGGATAGACATTTAATTGGGAAGTGAAATAGCTGAGGAAGAAAACAAGCATGAAAAGGTGTGTGTAGCAGCAAAATGAGACACAAAAAATTCCCCAAAAAAGGGAATTTTAGCAACATAAACCCTTGAGCTGCTTATTGAGAGAGCACCACGGGGTGACGACCCTTAGCTGCCTCCAATTACAAGTCATTTTACTGTCATGCCCTAATGGCGGAGGCGCTGCATGGACTCCTGCAACCTTCGAGCCCATCTCTGAGATCAGATCAGGGCAATGCAATTTAAAAAGATTTATGCAAATCTTACAGATCTGCCAATTAAGCATGGCTACAGAGCAAGACATTTCCCAAAGAGGAGAAAGGCACAGCTGAGGAGAGGTCAGAGTGAGTTTGTTGACTCATTCTGACCTTTGTGGTCTTTGTTGCAGATCACACTACATGTTTCATCTATTTGGACTACTCATTTGTAATTTAAAACAGATTTGTTTTGTAACGGCATCTAGACATATACCATGGATAAATAGAAACACATTGTAAATAGTTATGTAATTTTAATGAACAATTTATGTAGTAAAAAATATGTCATGTAAAGCTTGATAAAAAAAAAAAAAACACATCTGATGGAAAACTGAATACAACATAATGTATGATGGGCTTTAACCAAATTTGCTAGAACTTGAATACAATCTGACGGCTGTAGGAGAACTCCGTTATCAGCTTTGGAACAGTTTGAGGAACCTACAGAGAACCGGTGCTCAATGAAAAGTCTTAGAGGAGACGAGTCTCCATTAGATTCTGAATATGTTTCTGAAAATGCTGATAGAATTACATCTGATTCTTAAAAAAGCAAATGAAATCATCACAAAACTTGTGATGACTTTATGAAGTTTAACAGCTTCATAAAATCTTTAGCTGTGTTTGGTACATTAGCCAGCATAGATACTTCATTATATGTCACACATTAGATTTTAAAATTCAGAGAAAATGTCAAAACAAAAGCAGAAAATTAAGCAAAGCCAAGTTAATCCTAAAAATGCTATTAATAGAAAAATAAATGAAAACATTTTAAAGGGTTGTTTCTCATATATCTTGTCATTGTCTATTTATTTGACTGCCACTTTGACTGCATGAGGAATATTAACAACTTTTTTTTGACTACTTAGAAATATTTTCAGGCATCCAAACAACACCCAGGTCACAATTTTCATTACACATGAATATAAATGCAGAAACATGTTTCATAAACACAGATTTCCACACACATGGCTTTCAGAACAGAAATCCAAGACTTTTTTTCTCATTTTGTGGTACTGCTAATCCCAGTCATGTATGGGAGACATGTGGAAGCAGCTTGCCACAGCTGATAGGAGAATTAAGTGGGTTTTAACTAGCTAAATAAATAATTATGTTTGTGTAAATTTCTCAAAAGGATTTGTCTTAACTCTCTTTTTCGAGATGTCACGAGTGGAGAAAAGGCATCTAAGAGCTGACCATATGTTCTTTGATGAGCACATCCACATGTACAATACTATACAAGAATTTAGCAAAGGGGTGGACAGCAAGGGGGGAACTGGAAGTGTGCCTCTCACCATGCTGTCAACACCTCTTCGCTGTTCCTCTCTAATATTCTTACCATTTCGCAGCATTTTTACCATAATCTCTTCTCTGTTATTGCAACACCTACAAAATCAGATCTGCAGTAAGCATTTGCCTCCTCACAGATTTATTACGTTTTCGCTTATTTGTCACGCTTACATTTTTTAGAGTCCATCCATCCATCCATCCATCCATCCATCCATCCATCCATCCATCCATCCATCCATCCATCCATCCATCCATCCATCCATCCATCCATCCATCCATCCATCCATCCATCCATCCATCCATCCATCCATCCATCCATCCATCCATCCATCCATCCATCCATCCATCCATCCATCCATCCATCCATCCATCCATCCATCCATCCATCCATCCATCCATCCATCCATCCATCCATCCATCCATCCATCCATCCATCCATCCATCCATCCATCATAAATTAAGCCAAAAAAAAAAGGACATTTAACACAGTAAGAGGAAGTCAGCTTCTTAACCTCACAGTCAGCTGGACATATATTGATATTTTCAATCATTGCAATTGACTGCACAGAAACACACATCTAAACATAAAAGAAATACACATGAGAGCATTCACAGATGCAAACACTTAGAAATACTACTAAGTTTTTAGGCCGGTTCAACTTAAAGTAAACACAGCAGAGAACTGTGTGTCACTGATAAGGCAATTTGGAAAGGGGGAAAAGGCATTTCCTACTTGAAGAGAAAAAAAAAACACTCAATTCCAGCTGAGTAAAGTGGAACTTATTTGTTTGCTGTGATTGAGTTTGTGCTTGGTTAGGCTTAAGTTTCAACTTTGAGGCAGAACAAATAACACATGCAACAGAAATGACAGGAAACAGAGGGAGAAGTCAGGTCTGGACTGAAGATAAGAGGGTGGAGGAGAGGATCAGCAATGTGACCAGCTGTGTGAATCCAGGATTTTCTTTGAGTTAAGCTCAGTTGTTCAGTTCTTAGATTCTACATCCCTATTTATGCTTTTAAATTCAGACAAAAAAAGTTAAAGTTTGATTTACATTCCGATAGAGGGATTTTTTTTTGGACACACTCATGAGCTTGAACCTATAAATCATTGGAAATTTTAAAGTTCAAGATTCTAAGCTCCATCCATAGAACACAATTATCTTGATAGTTGCATTTCAATTAGTATCTATTTTGGGATATTTATATTATGTTATAAAAGGCAGTAAAAGACCAAGGACAGCAATTGTTTTTTCTTGGTAGTAAGTTAACCACTGCTAAACTAATAAACTATAAAGTGCAAACAAAGAGGAGAACAACTGCTTCTTACCATTGTCAGTAGCCAGAAACGTAGCTTCGTATATGTTGTTTTTTACGTAGACAGACTCCCGGTCCAGCATTCCAGTTGTTACAATCTGACCGCTGGTTCTGTTGATAGACAGCCAGTTTGCAGGGTCATTCAGCTTTGAATACCTAAACACACGTGGACAGATCGAAGGAGAAGTTAGCGTTGGCGGTTCTGCATCTATAAGCAATCATGTCTTTCCTCTTGTGTCCGTGAATAAATAGATTACCTCCTAATACACATCTGCAGAAAAATCACAACAGCCTGACCTTCACAGCATTTAATTCTTCATTGACTTCTTTCTCAGAGCCTGAAGCCTACAGTCAATTTCACCTCATTTTTTCGCTTGTGTGTACCAGGCAGTAATGTCAATTGCTGCCCTCCTGGAGCACTGCTACAACTGTGTGTGTTTGTCAAAGGTAGCATATTTTTCTAGGAAGAGTTTGATTTAATGTGGGATGCGATTAAGCTGTCGAACTGGGTAGTACACATGCATATTTAGCTCTTTCATGTCTGCAGATGTGCATGAAGGAGCCGTAGAGACTCATTGATGGGCTCCTGGTACTGATCAGTGAACAGGAAAGTCGATATGGTAGCAGGTGGCAGCAGTACTCTGGGATCAGAGTGGAATAGGAACAAGGGATCATCTATGGGATTGAATCCCCATCGTCGCTCTGATCTCAGTGTTCTGGTTTTTTAAGTTTTTGTTGCTTTCCGCCTTTTCTATGCTTTCAGTTATATCTGATCCCCTCCTCAACTCATGTCGCCTCACCTCATCTAGCCATAGTTGGTATTCATACATTTTCTTATCCCTGTGTGTATCCTGTCATCCTTGCCTCGTTTGCGCTGCGATACAGAGTTCACCATCTGCAACCTCTCTTAACCGCAATCTCACTTTCACATGTAAAAGGATCATCTGTGAACATGTGACACCTTGACCTCACACAACAAGGTTTCTGCATCACTGTGATTTCATTTACTAGAAGTCAGGTAGGCCAGATGGACTACTTTTTATTCCATATATCCGTCAGGTTTTAAATGTATCCGTACTGAAATGGATTTGACCTTCTTTTTGCTTCTATGTTTACTAAACTGCACTTTAGTGCAAAACCTGCTTTTTATTCGTCATAAAAAATACACATGGATATGATTCTGCTTAAATGGAGACAAAAAAAATAGCTTTAGAAGGATGGGTGGCAGCAGGTAGTAATGACCAGGGTGTAAGGCAGAGAGTAAAAGTTCTCCCCTGCAGAGAGGGCGGTGGGATTTTCCCAGCAGGCAGTGGGCACGATCCCAGGAACAGTGAATTGCAGAGAAGGGGATCATGCTGGTGACATTCCCACACTTTAAACAGCTGCAGTTAAACAAGGTAGTCTGGCCTACACCCACAGATTGTAAAACCATCACCAGGAACTCAGTGAACTCAGATATAAATGTAAGTCGGGAGGAGTGGAAGAGAGGGTGAAGGAAATGAAAAGATGGTGAGTTGAAATAGGTGGGAGGAAAAAGACACAGAGAAGAAGAGATTTAGAAATACTTGCATCACTGTATGATCAAATTCAATTGTTACAGTTAGGACTGATGTGATTCCTGCGGCACTTTAAATTATTTAACTCCAATGCAATTAAGTGTTTTTTAATTACTATTCCATTTTTTTGCAATAAACAAATGACAGAAGAACAGTTCAACTAATTAAATACTGCTGAACTAATCTAAGAAGGCTATTATCAAAAATGTAAACCTGAATTCTACTTTCAATGACAATTGAAGTCAATTATTCATCTCCCGAAATACAATTCCTCATAAGAGGACACATATGCTAAAGATCACCTGATGCAAGCAATCAAAAGGGTCATTAGTTGCATCATGTGTGCTTAAGATAGGACAGCTCCAACATCTGATCTGTTGAAAATAATGTTTCATTGCATGATAAGATAATGTAAGCCATTATCTTGGCTTATATAATTGTTTAAAGAAAGATGTCATTGCTTTGCATACTAAAGGAATAAGATCCAAAAAACAGTAAAGTCACTGGATATTCAGTAACACTTTATTTGACGGATCGTGAATGAGACTGTCATGACACCGTCATAAACATGACATAACACCTGTCATAAGCATGAGTAAGTCTTCATGAATATTTATACCTGTCATCATAAAGTGTCATTCAGTAAATTATGATACTTTTAATACAAAGTTGACATTATTCAAAATGACATTTTAACTTTGTATTAACAATGTCATAAATTACTGAATGATATTTTATGACAACAGTCATAAATATTCATGAAGACTTATGTACATGACAGGTGTTATGTCATGTTCATGATGGTGTCATGACAGTCTTATTCACAACCCCTCAAATAAAATGTTATCGATATTCCTGCAAATATAATTGGAAACATAAGTTGCAAACTTTAAATAAGTTTAAATGATGATTTCTGGTTGGATGAAAAAGAGGAAGCTTTGTACAGCTGCCACCAGATTTGGAATCACGAGCATCATAAGATGCTATATCTACCACTGTCATTGAAATTAGCAAGTGTTATTCAAATGCTACCGTGATGATCAGATAAAACCATGACTTAGCTATGGAGAAGCTTTTATTGCACCAACAAAAATACTGTCATGTCTGTAAGTTGCAAACTTTTTTTTATAGAAAAGTCAATTTTAAGGAAAAATAAGAAACAGTGTGACAGCAGCTTATAGTTTCAACTTGAAGCAATATAATGGTCTAAATTATTCCCAAAATTACCATAGTGGCTCTCCAGAGAGAAGGGCAAATAATAGTGATTGGTGATGAACAACTATAACCTCAAATGTGTTCACTAATCTAATCTTGTCATCTAATCTTATAGAAGCAATATACATGTAATATGCTGTATTTCCTAGTTCAGAGAGGTGCACAACAAAATAGACCTTTTTGTCAAAATACATATAACCCAAGAAAGCCAAAAATAATACCTAATTACTAAGTCTTAACTTGACAAACCTTAAACACACTTTGTAGAACATATCCAAAAAGGTGTCGCACTGACAAAGCTGTTTCTTTTCCATCATCTGTTCAGTTTTGTCATTGCTGAATAAATTGATTCAAATAAGATTGATTTATCATGTTTTTGTTTTTCTGTTTTTTTACCTAAGAATGTGCTACTCTAAAAAAGTGAATTTTTTAAATGGCTTTGGACACCAGCGAGGCCAATAACAGCAGAGGGTTCTGTAAGTTAGCATGTCTTCTTACACTTAAAGAAAAAAAATTAGAAACGGATTGGTTTGATGAAGACAGCGGGTAAACATTTTTATAGCAGTTAAACTGTCAAAGTCAAATTTTTTTCAACAACCCGAAGTCTGGTAAGCAAGATTTCTGTCAAAACATGACATGCTGCAAGACATTGTAACTGTCAAGTCTGGAATAGTTTCGACAGCTCAAACCAACAACTGCTTCATTTACTTTTCTGTTTGTTATAATATCAATTGGCAGACATAAGATGTAAGATGTTCATTAGTCATGCTTCGCAAAAAAAAACATGCAGATGGGTGACAGAGACATTATTTTAGTTGTTAGAAATATCTTTTGTGTAAAATTACACATTTAAAAACGATCTTAAATAGAAAGTGCATAAAGAAAACAAATAGTTTCATTTCCTGAACAACAAAGACAATCCATTCTGTCCTAGGCATATGCAAAAATGGAACTGAACCTTCTGATTAATTAAAAAACAACAAAACACACATAATTCAGTCATAAGCCAGTAATTTTTTTCTAAGCACAAGACTAAGTTGGATAAGCAGTCCTCACAAAACAAAGCAGTTAAAAGAAAAAAAAGCAAAGTCGTAAATTCTCTACATGGATGACCACAGTCAGCATTAAAACAGAACATAACTTTACTGTTCAAGTTATGTTCCCTAGAATTTAAGGTAGTTAATATTCTGTTAATATGAGTCAATATCACTTCAGAAAATAAAAATGTCTGGTTTCTAAGATATTAGACCATCATAGTCGAGGTTAAAAAAAGCCAACCTCTGGTAGTAAACATGAAACAGACAAACAAGTTGCTATAAACAGCAGACACCGGCAATAATAATATCAAAAGAGAAGCATTGTTTCTATAGGTTTGTCTCTACATTTATTGGAACTACTTAGAAAATGTCTTGTTGGTTAAGTTTTCAACAAGATAACTTAACCAACAAGTTATCTTGCTCACATCCTTTCTTAAAACAGAGAGGACATGAGCAAATGTTAACTTGGCACTTCTGCAATTATCCTGCTGATTGTCAGCAGAGTGTGATGTAGTTTTGCTAAAGACCTTTTGTAGCCAAATGTGACATAACAGAGAATATTTTAGTAATGAATAAGCTCACTATTATAACTAGTGAGTAAAATACATAGAACACATTTACAATACAGTGCAGATCACATGATGCTGATGAAAGACAGTGTTCGTATTTACAAAAGACTTTCTTTACTTTCATATAAAATGCACGCACATTTTAAATGCATGCACATATAAAATGATTTTTTTATTAAAAATCAATTCCCTTTTTTTATGATACACAGGTGAATGTCTTAAAATTCAAGTACAATTTTCTACACATTTCTGTGTAGAAATTTCCTGCATTAACCACTTCACTAGGTGATTTTTTTAAAATTTTTCTATTTGTTTTTGCTTTGCTAAAAGAAATAGAAGCATAAAAAAAAAGAAATTTTACTTATTAGAATTATTGTTCTGCTGCAGTTTTCCAGAAAATTAGTTGTGTGGTAAGCTGACGCTACAGGTTGTGCGATCACCTCCTGCGCCTCATTTGCAGTGTTTTTCCATGTCTCTTCCACCAGAAGGCTCATCTCATTTGGGAGTTGGGAGGTGTGTGAGTACAGCTGGATGTATGATTAGGCCTGGCAGGTTAGTGATCTTAGCAGGCAGCAGGGAGAGGTATGACATTTATTTTTCAAACCCCCGACCCTGAGGATGAAAAATGCATGTCTCGAGCTTAGCCAAGGCGGTTTGGGTAATCATTTATGCCAGTGTCTCCAGTCCCATATCTCGACCTTACTGGTTGGGTGTATGACAGGTGATGCACGATGCCTCCCTGTCCCTAACTCTTTCTCTCACTGGCCTAACCACAACGG